AAAAGCAAGCCTGTTACCAGATTGGACAATCAATCTTCATGGTGAAACCATTCCACTTCTTTTACTTGGCAAAAAGCATATCCACTACAACCATGGTTATTGAACCATTAGTCAATAATGGCTAATTTTCTGATGGACAAATATATTTTAAACATAGACAAAATCAAAAAACAGTAGTGATTGCATATGCAGGGGCGAATCTAGAACAGGAAAGGGGGTTCTAAGCAGCGAAAGACATTTCGCAATTTTGACCACTTTTATTAACTGAACCAGCCATTTCCCATGCTCCATTATAAGTCTGTAATCTCAGAAAAGAAAGAGCAAGGCCGAAGCTTCTGAAAGTAGTTGTGATTTCGTCAGCTAAATGTCTTTTTTTATACCACTGTCACACAAAAAACCCAGCATATCTTAAGGGATAATAGAAGAGTCACTATCCCAATATCTCACATTAAGGCTCTTAATTTCTTTATTAGATAAATCTGTCACTTCATCAGATATAATTTAGCTGCTTCTACCTTGCTTAAAATTTTGTCATTTTCATTAGAATTATCTGGTTCAGAATTAGTGACTATGTGTATGTAGTGTTTCAAGCAGCTTTTGCAAGATGGTCTTTAAGCAAAATGTCACCAGAGTCAATGCAAAACTAAAGGAGAGCTAGGAAATTACCATGGTTATGCAACCCAGTATTATTCTTTACAAGATCAGTGATATCATCACAATGGCATCGCAGACTAATATTTTGTTGTCCAATGAATAACAATGGCCTTAATTAAAGATGAATATTAGCTTGTGGCGATTAACAGCTACTTAATCAGCAACTGAAAAATGGAGAACTGATGTTATGGTTGGTTGTTGATTACTTAACACCTTCATGAACTCATTTGACTTCACAACAGAAATTGGTTTCTCATTGTGTTTTCCTAGGATCTCCAGGGCCAGTGGTGGATCTAGAAAGCAGAAAGTTGGGGGGGGGCTAGAAAAACGGGAGGAATGTTGTCCCATGTGAAGCGTGCAAAAATATTTTGAGCCATGCCCACTTTCGTTGGGTGTGCTCTCATTAATTATGGCTGCTACGCATACGTACATTCACAATAAATTATAATTTTAGTGATGACGGCAATTAATTAATCAATAACATGTTAAAAGAGAGTTATTTTTCTGTTTCCAGCAGCAGCAAAATAGTCAATAACTGCATCATAGTCCATTTCCTTCGAAAAGTTTCCTTCAACTGACAGAATAGCAAGGATTGACAAACGATTAGTCGTTATTGTTGAACGTAAGTAAGATTAATTCTTTTTAGAGCGGAAAATGATCTCTCGGCAATGGCACTCGAGACTGGTGTGGTTAAAGCACCTTGTACAACTTTCTTACAGTTTCAAAAAGCTGGGTTCACAGTGCAGAGGTAACCATATAGGTCTTCTGTAGTTTCTACATCCTTATTCTTGCTTAGTAAGTTATTAGCAACCTGCAGCTCCCCATTCAGTCCTGATACATCAACAGAGCATTCATTGGCTACAGGTAAAATAGTTAAATAGTTGAAAAAAGATATACTGCTTGGATTATAAGCAGCAACTGCTAGAATAATTTCCCTTGCATCATCAAAACAACTATGTAGCTCTACAAGAACTTTATTAATGATACAATAATATAAGGCAAGGCTACTATCTTCTGTGAAGTCTTCATGTGAAGGATGACTGGTAGATTCCAAGCATAAATAGTCTTGCAAATGTCTAGCAACTGTTGTGTGCCATCATTGCACAGTAGATATACAGTATTTCTTAACATATGACTATACATAAATCCGTATCTCATCATGAAAAAATTTAGGTGAGCGAGAATTAGCCAAGGTTTCTGTTAATGAGGCTACTAAATCAATAGCTATAGCTAAATTTATTGTTTTACTTTGAAGCATATCAGATAGAACTTTAGTAGCACTAAGAATACTAGAAAATATCTAAGTAATATAAATGACAAACTCTTGAGTTGCATTGACAGACCAAAGCACTCAGCCCTCTCTCGCCCATTATGTGGGTTATTAGCAAAACTGTGCAACATATCTATTATATAGCTATATCGCTCTTTAAATACACGTACAGCAGCATAGCGACATACCCATCTAGTGTCAGACAGACAAGAAATTACCGTAACTTTAAGATTCTTGCCCTTCTGAATATTTACGAACCTGTCATGTCGAAGTGTTGATGCAGTAATAAAACAGTATACCACCTTAAGTAAGCAAAAATAATTTCTCACATCTTCAATACAAGAGGCAATACTGACAACAATGAGATTGAGACAGTGGGCATAGCAATGAACATAAATACAATTCTTTCCTACTATTGAACTTTCTTTTGAACTCCATCAAATCGTCCACTCATGACAAATGCACCATCGTAACATTGAGCAATACACTTCACCATATCGAAACCCAGCTTATTTACCTCACTAATAATTTGTGTTGCCAAGGATGCAGCATCCGGCTTATGACAAGCTGTAAAACCAACACAATGCTCTACAATGCAATGACTCTCAGGATGAACATACCTTAAACATAATGAGAGTTGCTTTACTTATGACTTATCACGAGCTTCATCGGCAATTACAGAAAAAACACACACACCTTTACTTCCTCACTAATTTGCTTACAAATCACATCAGATGCTGCTTCTAGTAGCTCATTTTGAGTGGCCTTTGACAAATATTTAGCATTTTCCGCAGTTATCAATATGACTTTTTAAGGCAGGACATTCTGACGCAATGATAGAAAGAATCTCTCTGCTTTCTGAATCCTCATCTTCTCGATGGACACGACGAGCAATGCTTCGACTAGTGCAGAGTACAACAACCTTACAAGCAGATATCAGTAATTTTCTGTTCTCTTGAATGCGTCTGGCTCTTGCACTATCTATGATGTCTCCAATAGTTTCATGATCTTTTGCCTATTTACATCCACTCCAAAAGCTGGACTGTTCTTATGAGCTTCAAATTTGACATGCTTCTAGAGCTTTGATCCCAGCTTTTTCCAATCCCTAAAGCCATGTACTATAAACACTTCTTCACTTCTAGATCTAGCCATTGATGGAAATAGGCGACAAGGAAAGCAAAGTATAGCATCTTTTTGAAATGATTACTCAATAAATGGTGTGTAACATACCACCGTAAATTAAAAGAACGTTGCTGAGATCCCATGATATGTTTTGGAAAATCATTCCAAGACTTAGGTTGCACTGGGAAGCTATCTTTAGTTGGAGTGATATCTGGTGGACCTGAAGGTGTATGTACTTCAATAACTTCATGTGACTCAAACAATGTTTCATGCTTTAAGAAAGAAAATAATTATTTACTTTGCTAATAATTTCCTACTCACATCAGTTTCAGCTGGTTTCAGTAGAATTACTACAGTCACAATCATAAACTTCTTTGTCTAATGAATCCTCAGGCTCTGATGAATCTGAATCTGAGTCACTGGTTGTGAGTTGAACAGCCTGGGCTTGTACTACTTTAGGTCTTTTACTCTTACTAGCAGAAAAATTTAAGCACTCTGCCTCTTCATTTTAAGAGGGTGTGTTAAAAAGATCATGCAATTTCGGGGGGCTACAGGCCCCCAAAGCCCCCATAATTATCTGCCCCTGTCCAGGGCCACTTTTAATGAGGGTTACTGACAAGAATTCCTTATTCTAATTCATGATAAACTGTACTCACGGAGAATAGAACACAGAAACTGCCATTCTCTTGCTTGCCATATGCTAGCCATGAGAGCTTATTCAACCATGAACATCGAAAGGATCATCCATCAGCACTCTTTGGAAAACAATAATTTGGAGATGGTTTGATATGATGTTCAATGTGATAATACTTAGAGTTGGAGAATAATTGCTGTCCAAAAACATTTGCCACACCAATAATATCAGTGTTCTCAATGTTCCAAAGTATTGCTAGTCATTTTGAAAGAGAACAGTCAGACTCAACTTCTACTAATATCAGCTTCATTATTTTTCGTGCAGCTAAAAGTTGAATTGAGAGACTGAGTGGATCTTCTAGGATCATTAATAACGTTATCATTACCAAAATTGTAAATTTGTTTTTAAAATTTATATTGCTTGCTTACCTATTAAGGCACTAGAAGTGCTGCTCTGCTTGGTAAGTAAGTTCAAAACAGACATGCTTACTGCTGGTAGAGTAGTCAATTGAGATTGTTTTTTGTATGTCTTGCATGTGCTTAAAATAATTGTTGCATGTAGCATGGGTGTTCTATCATGGCACAAAGTCTATAATTAGAACAATTTTAATTACTTACGACTCGTGATAAATTGAAATTTAAAATGTTTCCTTTTTGCAGGATGTTATATATTGTATTAGTTAAGTATAGGTTGTACACCGAGGTCGAGGTTTCTATGTGATTTATTTTAACGAGGGACGCAGTCCCGAGGTAAAATAAACCCATAGAAACTGAGACCCAGGTT